GGAGTTGTTGCTTAAACAGCAAACGACGCCAGTCATTGTGATGTGTCAATCAAGTTTTCGGTGCTCGTCAAGCTGTGTTATGGCGACACTCGATGCAGCTGCACATAATCGGCAGTGTAGACCAAAGAGGCCCTTCCCCGTCAATGTAGGGTGATTATCGTCCCACATCCACTGCACAGGGGCACGATGTGAAGTTATGCACATGAAATAGTGAGTAGAGTTGGCAGTGGCATTCGTTCATTGACATTCCTCCAGCATGCTCCACCTGAAGCACTGTCCACTGTGCTCGTCCATGCACGTTTCATTCCTCACTACGTCACACCTGAAGGGAGGCGATTTAATGGACGAATGAATGAGTGGTGTGTGGCGGGGAGGATGGCACTGTCATTCTGCAGAAGTGCTATTTCAACAAGACGCGACATGACACGGCATGACGAGGCGTAGTGATGAAATGCTTCATTCCTTCCATCGCGTCTCCCTCTCCTACACATTCCATGCACCTCCAATCAACCATAGCACTTGGCTGATTGCACGGCACACTTGTACTGCAGATTTTCACCTCACTCGAACCCAACAACGTGTAAATTGGGCGCAGTTGCCACCACATCCACGCCTTACAACACCAATGCTGGCAATGTCACAGACAAGATGTCATGCACGAGCTGAGATGGATTGCACGAATGGCACACTTTGATGGAGACCAATGGCGCAGTAGAATGTCCACCTATTTTACCACCGGGATAACTTGCTCCCTCCCCTACCTTCGCCATGACCACGCCATACATCCTTGTATGCCTAGTGATGACAGTCAGTCGTTCCATACACACCAACGGCTAGTGCCTCAACTACACCCACCTCTTCTCTTCCTGTGGGGCTGACTTCGTATCCACCACATTAGTCAAGGCACATAGAAGTTGATGCATGCTTTGTGGAGGATCGTTCACCCTCCCACGCCAACAGCACGTGATGCGCCATGAGGTCATGCCAGCTATTGCTGTCGCGACCACGCACTTAGAGCACGCTTTCTCAACCAGTTTCCACTTTCAGTGTCGGCGTGCCTCTTCGCTTACTTCTTCACCTTTACCTTCATTCATTCTGTCTTTACCCCCTCACTTTATTCCCAACGTGCTGCAAGTTGAAACGAATACAGTTGGCTTTATTCTTTATAAACAATGCTGTATCAGGTAAAGTCGCAGCTGTGAGTGACTCCGCAGCAAATGAGGGCATTACGTTACCTTGTGTTTTGCGGCACCTTCTACCATGAGTTGCCTTGCTTCAAGACCCAAATGCCTACCAAATTACCTCTCTGTATTGCCATGCTCCACTTATTCATTCTTTCGCTTTAGCACCTCGTCAACTCCCTCCTGATTGGTCAATGACTCCTCTTGATGCCGCCAAGGTCGTTACCGTTGCGTAGGTCCCTCCACTTCGATCTGTCTGTCCGTCTTTCTCTCTCTCTCTCTCTCTCTGCGTG